GGACTCTTCCTCTTAAAAACACACAAGTCTAGAAAAAAAGGAGAAGTAAATCTAAACAGCAGGACCCAAAAAACAGTCTTGAGCAAAGGTTCGTGGCAGGGCAGGAACAGACGTAGAGAACTCTGGAAGCTATGTGACGAGAACAGCCCTGAGACAATGAAGACGCACCCTAGCTGGAAATTATAACAACTGGGGACTTACCGAGTTAAACATCTGGACAGGAAATGAAGGGAGGTTTAAACAGGCAAAACACAAAGGCGATTCAGTTGGGGGAATGCTAGTCCAAAACCGCAGCTCTTCCAGGCAGGGTCTCTTTGCAAACTCCTGCCTCTCCAGAGAAAGGGCAGGAGCAGAGAGCGGGGAAACGAGAACGTACCGCTCCAACTTACGGACAAGGTAAGTCAGCGCAGAAGCTTTGTGGTGCATCGTTAGGCACCTAAGTACTTTAAAAACAACGAGGGGTCCGGAGCAGCGTAGTGACTGACAAAAAAAATAGCGATGGCATTATGAGCTTTCGTGGGCACAGCCCACTTCTTCAGATGTGCTGGGTGGAGGGAAAACAGGGAACCCAGAATTTACCACAGAAAAAGGGAGAGAAAAAAAAAGTCCCCGTCAACTGTAGAGCCGGAGCTAACGAGGCAAGTTGTGTCGGCTACTTAGCTTCTGATATAAACAAGGCGTTAAATGCAGGGAAGGCTGGCTTCATTTTTACACCCAAAGCTTTTTGTTCTGGGATGAATTCTGGGTTCCGGTCACCCCTCGCCGGCTAGCTGGAGGAAGTGGGATTTGCCCACGGAAGCGCCGAGTCTCTAAACTGCCCCAGGACCACATGTCGTTTTTCGAGTTACCGACTAACGCGAGGGGACGCGAAGAGCAGCCAGCCCGCACCAGGAGTGGAAGGCGCGATGGGCGAGGCCCTGAGACAGAGCCGCTGGGGCTGTACAGAAACCACGTCCGGGGGGGGACGAGGGGGAAGCTCGAAGCACCGAGGGAAAGGGTTAGGTTAGGGCAGCTGGAGGAAGCAGGGGGATGAAACTTAGCTTCCCCACAGACAGTGCAATAGCCTCCCAAGGGAAGTGGCGTCGCCATGGCTACACCTCAGAGAGACCGGCCCAGGCTGGGACATTGCAGCAACCAATCCTGCCCCGGGCTGTCGGGAACCGGGGCTCCTTGCGGGTCTCTCCGATTTCTAGGCTCTGCTGCCAGGCAATGGAACGAGTCCAGCGGCGAGAGCTGGGGGTGCAGCAAGATGGCCGCCGCCAGAGGAGGCTTCCCTGTCCTTCACGGAGGTCACACACCGTGGCGCTTTCAAGGGGCCCGTCCGGCAACCCCCGACTCTCCGGGAAGGCGGGGGGGGACGCAGGGTTGTCGCACGCCATGAGAATTCCCACCTGACTTATCCTGCAAGTCATCCAGCCTCTCGCCCCTCTCGATCACCTTGGTGATGTTCTCCTGCATCACGTCGATCACCTCGTCCACCTGGTTCTGGACACTAGGGGAGAGCGGAGCCGTGAGAAACCCGCCGGGAACCCAGGGGCACCTTAGACCCCGAGCAGCCGCCCGCGTTACGGAGCCTCCGTCTGCCCAGGGACGAGACAGACCGGCCAACAGGCCCCCGGGACCTTTGACAAAGTCCAGCGTGCAGGGCTGGCCTGGCTGCCCCCCGCCCCCCCATCTCTGCTCCACACTTTCATCCTCGCCCCATGCTCAGGGGATGTTTCCAAGGCAAGGACTGGAGCTTTACCAGCAGCTTCCTTGCTCTGGCTCGCGCTCGTCCTGCCGTACTGTGCGGTTTTGCCTTTTCTAATCCAGCTGCCGACACCTCAGCCGCCGGAGCGGAGTTAGCACCTCGCTCCGGTTTTCCTGCGGGAACGGCCAGGTCTCACCCCGCAGTGCAGAGGGGCGTGGCAGTGGTGGGGCACCCCTGTTGGTGGTGGTGGCAGTGGTGGGACACCCCTGTTGGTGGTGGTGGGCAGGGGAGTCCCCCGGTCCCGCCAGACTGGAGCACCCCCCGCCTGCTCCCCCTTTCCATCGGTTCAACCTTACGTTGAACCGGTTAGCCAAGGAAACGGCATTTTACATCCCTAGTTTGGACATGGATGAAAACGGGGGGCAAAGCATCCCCCGACCTGGGAACACGACAGAAGTGGCCCTTTCTGCAGCATCTCAGACACTCCGCGTGGATTATTCTGCGTCTGCCTGAAATCTACAGCTAAATCTGCTGTTTGCAACCATCCCGTGTCGACGAGAGATGCCTGGATTCCCACCCGGGGTTTCATGCTCTCTCAGAGCAAGGCAATACCTGACTCCCCTCCCTGGCAAGGGAACCAATTTTGTGTTTAACATCGCGTTGCTACACAACAGAGGTCCCGTCGCTCCAACCAGACCAGCTTCCGTTCCTGGATCTACTAAACACAGAGCCTCTTCTAGGGAATCTGTTTCTTTCATCCTTTATCTTGACATGCTGAGAGGCACACACCCAAATACCTACAGCATTAAGCCAGTGACTCTCAACCAGGGACTAAACAAAAGGGAGTTGTCATCACAAGGCATAGGCAACCAGGCGTGTGGTGTCACCAGAAGTCCTGGACAAACCTGGCAGGCAATTACTGCCTCCCGCGCAAGACGGGGGATGAGAGGAGAAAAACAACCCCGGGAAAATGAGAAAGGAAGGGTCCGAGTCTGCTAGCCTGCTCTCCCCAGCGTGGGGTTCCCCCGAGGCGGGCGAGCGGCAGGACGACGCACGGTAAAACTTTCCCTTTTTCCAAAAGCTCCCACGGATCCGTGCCCTGGATGATAAAGTGAAGCCCAGAGGATGGCCAAGTGCATGACAAATGGGGCAGCTCTGTATTCCTAAGCCGGCGGATTCCCTTGGCACAGCAAGGGGGCAAATGGAACGTGGATAACAAGGTAAAAGATGTGAGAATGGATGAGAAAGGCAAGAGCAGCACAGGAACAACAGTGGCTCAGATATAAAATAGGGATGTTAGAGTCTAGTCAAATAAATGATTAACTGAGAAGCCAGGACTTATTGGTTAATCCTATCGACTATGTGAACTTCCCACCTCTTGCTGCCTCTGTATCAGAGGCAGCAAAGGGGCGGGGAGGGAAAGGAGCAGGAGCCTGTGACGATGGGAAAACAGCTGCCCATGAACAGCCAATCCCGTGGAGCTGCCTGCCCCTCCCACCCCCATGCTGCTGTATCAGAGGCAGCAAAGGCGGGGGGGGGGGAAGGAAGAGGGGAGGAGGATGCTCAAGGCCCTTGCAGACAGGGCCTGCTCCGTGGGATAGTTGTGTATATAAGACAAAGCCTCCAACAGGAGGATGGTTCCAATAATATTGGGGCATCTGGTCACCCTACCGGCAATATTCCCTCTAAATGTTCCCATGCATGTGCAGAATGAATTTTGTTATGTGCACCGATAGAGAAGTGATGTGTGGGCGGAGGGGTTTGCACAGCAGGAGGGAGCTCCGGGCTGGGGCAGGTTAGGGTGCAGGGGGTGGGGATGAGGGATTTGGAGGTGCGGGGTTCAGAATGCCCAGCTTAGAGGGAATTTAGCCTCCCTGGAACAAAGCAGCCGAATTTAAAAATCCATAAATCAAATCTGGACCATGCATCCAAACTCAAAGGCACTTACTGCCGGATCTTGTCATTCCTGGGTGCAAACCTTGGTCCTGCGGGTCCTCTCCTGCCGGCACAGAACAGAGACAGTGATCATGAATGGAAACACGCACAAGCAAGCCGGTCTGTCCCCAACGGTTCGGTCTTTCCCGGGGTTCCCAGAGAGGCAACAGCTCAAACTAGACAGGGCAAAACACACCCACCCGGGAATGATCCTCCATCAGCAAGATGCCGGACCACACACCAGCCCAGGGGTCTTTGCCCCCCCTCACTGATGGGCGGCCCCAATTTGATTGGCCCAGTCTGACTTGACGTTCATGGCTCGTGTTCTCCCGGATCAACCAGGCGCTGAATCTATCGCCCCACGGGAAGAGAAACAGAGGGCAACACTCCCGTCCAATCATTCCTACCAGGGAGTACGCAAGAGCTGCCTTCTACTTGCAATGGGCCCAGCTCTGGTTTGCACAGCGGTTTGGCCCACGATATATCCGGCCCCTCCCCGTACTGCCACACCCCCAGCACTCCTCCACAGCTACTCACAAGAAGAAGTCCTCCTCCTCGTCAGAATCTTCTTCCAGCAAGTTTCTCTGCAAACACCAAAAAAAGTTTAGTTTCTAATTAATTGGAGCTGAGCGTCCATGTCGTATCCACCAACCTTCTCACCACCGGTTGTACACGACTCCCTTAGGAACACATGAATGCTCCTTATTAAACGACCAGAAGGGATATCCTTCTTTTCAGCCTCCTCCCCATCTCCCAGAGCTTAAACTGGGAGGCTGTACACCGTTACCAATAAACCAGAGGTGTTAAAGCCATTGTCAGCTGAAGATATAAAAGATGGGACTGGAGGTTCAAGTTAACAATCTCTCCTTGGTCCTACCCGCCGAGCGAGTCTGGGCATTAGGAGAGAGGATGAACCTTTCCAATTTTCACACGGGGGTTAAGGGTGCTAATGGGTTTCCAGATGTGGGAGCATTCTAACCCCGTTCGCACTGAGACACGCACCTTTCTGGTACTGGGTTTATCTTCATACGCCCTTGGCTGCGTCTAGACTGGCAAGTTTTCCCGCAAAGGTAGCTGATTTTGCAGAAAAGCTTGCCAGCTGTCTACACTGGCCGCTTGAATTTCCGCAAGAACAGACGATCTCATGTAAGATTGTCGGTGTTCTTGCGGAAATACTGTGCTGCTCCCGTTGGGGCAAAAGCCCCCTTGCGCAAATGCTTTTGTGCAAGAGGACCAGTGTAGACAACGCGGGATTGTTTTGCACCAAAAAGCCCCGATCGTGAAAATAGCCATGGGGGCTTTCTTGCACAAAACCGCGTCTAGATTGGCACGGACGCTTTTCCCCAAAAAGTGCTTTTGCGCAAAAGCATCCGTGCCAATCTAGACGCTCTTTTCCACAAATGCTTTTAACGGAAAAACTTTTCCATTAAAAGCGCGATGGGGGCTTTCTTGCACAAAACCGCGTCTAGATTGGCACGGACGCTTTTCCCCAAAAAGTGCTTTTGCGCAAAAGCATCCGTGCCAATCTAGACGCTCTTTTCCACAAATGCTTTTAACGGAAAAACTTTTCCATTAAAAGCATTTGCGGAAAATCGTGACAGTCTCGATGTAGCCCCTTATGTTTGTTACACGGGGCCCAGTTCCCGCAACACTCGTTAGTAACCCATTTTGGCCTCCATCACCAATCAGCAGATGGTTCTTGGCCTGAGCTTTCAAGTCAGCCTTGAGAACGCTGACTGTACTGGACCACGTATCTGACAGACATCACTGGGGTAGCCTTAGATTCTCTCAGCATCACAGTGAGGAGAGCCAAGCAGACTGAGCGCCCGGGCTGAGAATTTGCACGACAATCTTGTAAGATTGCTGGAAAAACAAGGGCTTGGGTTGATCCTTCTTTTAAAGAAACAGATGTCTCTCTCCCTAGGGTTATGTCGGAGGCTTTGTCTCCGTGACAGATGTGCCAGCTCCTCAGGGCAACGTCCTTGGTTAGGGTTAAAAAAAATCGAGACGATGATTTGGGGTTTTACATCCAGCCCCACGATCCTTGGAGATGGCGTTGCCCTCGCGTTTGGATTTCAACGCCCATATTCTGAGTGCTGAGACTCATTTCCTCAGCAGCTTGATCTGCATTTGCTGAGCCCGTTTAAACCGGAGGCTAGAGATCTTGTTCTAGCCTCAGTACGGAGCAAAACACCTCCCCCTGCAGCCAAGCCGTCCGTCATATCTTTAGGCACTGTCACCAGCTGAGCAGGAGTCGACGCTCCAGCCTGGCTTCCAGGCTTGCTTTAAACGCCCCCCACACTCTGGCCAGGCAAATCCTGTTTAAATCCACCTAACGGGCAGTTGCAATTTAAACCAGCACACGGATTTCCAGCCCCAGCATCGAGGGGACTTCAGCACAGAAAGTAAATCCCCTGGGATCCGTAACACACAGATCAGGGCCACGAGATGCAAGTTGACAATCTGACAGCATAGTGATTCCACAGCGAACAAGCGAGAAACATGGTACAAAGCCCTGCTGCACACCCTGCCTTTAACTGGACTAATGCTACCCTTCATGGTGACGGGTGCAAATACAGGCAGAACCTCTCTAGTCCGGCACCCTCGGGACCTGAGAATTTGCTGAACCACAGGAAGTCAATATTGTCTAGCAGCATGACCAACACGTCCACTGCTTGCTGGGCTGTTAGAGGACATTTTGGGGTACATTCGAGCGCCAAGGCCAGGTGCCCCGGAGGGAGTGAACACAACAGGGAATCATCACGTGACCCCTCTCCCGACATCCATTTCCAGCCTCTGACAAACAGAGGCTAGGGACACCTTCCCTCCCCCTCCTGACTAACAGCCAAGCCATTGATGGACCTATCCTCCATGAATTTATCTGGTTCTTTTTTGAACTCTGTTAAAAAGTCTTGGTCTTCATAACATCCTCTGGCAAGGAGTTCCACAGGTTGACTGTTCATTACATGAAGAAACAGCTCCTTTTTTTTGTTTTAACCTGCTAACTATTAATTTCATTTGGTGAACTAGAGCTTGTGTGTTATGGGAACAAGTAAATAACTTTTCCTTATTTTCTCTCTCTACACCAGTCATGATTTTATAGACCTTGATCATGTCCCCCTTAGTCTCCTCTTTTCTAAGATGGAAAGTCCCCGTCTTATTAATCTCTCCTCATATGGCAGCAGTTCCAAACCGCTACTCATTTTCATTGCCCTTTTCTGAACTTTTCCCAATGCCAAGATCTCTTTCGCGAGATGAGGCGACCGTATCAGCAAGTAGTATTCAAAATGTGGGCGTACCAGAGATTTATACCAAGACAATAAAATATTCTTGGTCTTATCCCCAGAGTTGGGATGATGTTTTCCAATGTGCATTACTTTGCATTTATCAATGTTAAAATTCATCGGCCAGCATTAAAACTCATGTAGCAGCATCACCAACACTTCCCCTGCTTACTGGGCTCTTAAAAGATATTGAAGGGTAAATGAGAGCTACATCGCAGCACAGAGCACTGAGAGCCAGGGTTGGTGCCTGTAAACAAACTTTATGGGACTAGAGCTACATCGCAGCACAGAGCACCGAGAGCCAGGGTTGGTGCCTGTAAACAAACTTTATGGGACCGCGGGAAACTTGGTCACACCCATGATAAGTGGCCATCCGGCTAACTCAAATCATGTTGAACCACGGATGTTGCCAGACCAGAGTGTTCTGGACTAGAGAGGTTCAACCTATAATTGCTTTATTGCAGCAGCATTCTGCACAATCGACTCACCAGTAACTGACACACTCTGATATTAAGTTCTTTCTCCCACTCCCCAGCTGTCCAGAGCCACTCACATCTAACACTACGTAAGGAGTAGAGGCAGCTAATCTGTAGGCTGGGTTCTTACTTTCCATCTTTGTTACGTATTAGTTCTATCTACTCTTTCCTCCAAAATAAGCAGTGTCTATCAGGAGACCTGAAAATAAAAATAAATCTAGTTACTTCACCAAACAGACTGAGCACACTCCACCTGCCAGGCGAAGAGGTACTCGGCGTATCTAAAAATACCGTCACTTCATTAAGTCCATTTATATCACCACTAGCCAGATGCATGAAGTTTTGGTACCCTATAGTATGTCACTGTGTTCAACTACAAGAGAACCCATGTGGGATACAGAGCAGCCTTGGAGGGTGAGGAAGAAAAACCAGGTGAGTCCTTTGTCTGCAAACGGCGCAGTCACCCCTTTCTGTTTGTCAAACCTTTGTGGTTTCCCGCAATGTTCCCTCTAATTTGTGACTATTTGTGTGTGGAATAAATTTTGTTCTGTGCGCCAAGGCATGCGCAGGTGCGCACCACCAAGAAACACTTGGTGCCAGCTATGGATCAATGGGCAGTATTTGCATCTCTCCTGGGCGGCCGCCCAAGCGCTCCCCAGCTATGGATCAATGGGCAGCATTTGCGTCTCTCCTGGGCGGCCGCCCAAGCACTCAGTGTACGCAAAACACCGATGTCTCCTCCCAGACACACAGCCCAATTACAAAACAGGGATTATTTAGCAGGCACAACCCCCAGCTGGCTCCACCCTCTGAAGAAGTTGTTCAACAACTGTGAAGACACCAAGCGAGGCATCCTAAGCAGTCAGCACTGAGCGCGGCCAGCCAGAAGGATTCAACATGTCCTCCCATCTGGCTTTCTGCGCTCACATGCTGAGTGCCCCACTTGGCTTGTATCACGGTAGATGTCGTTCGTCTGAGGTCCGCTTTCAGCAATCCCTCCCCGTTCCGATGGTCCCAAAGCCCCCGGCAACGGAGCTGTGTGTGCCAGCCAGGGATCTCAGAGCACAGTGTGAGTAAACACACCCCTGCTAATTAAGGGGGCGGGGTGCCAACGAATGCAAACGAGACCCTGAGTTGCCAGGCACTCACCCTTTCGCTTTTCACCGAGCCGGTCACCTCGTCGTCGTTTAGGTGGCGCTTGAATTTTGGAGGCATCTTTCCTATTCACAGAACTGGCCTGGACTGTCTGTACCGGGGGGTGGCGGAAGAAGAGGCTGCGTAGAAGGGAGAGGGAAGCAAACATCTCAGAGCCCATTGTGCTGAGATCAATTCTCTGTCCGATCGCCGCGGTCTCCCTAAAACTCAGCCCAGTGAAACAGAATCCATTGACAAATGCCACAGGAAAGAGAATGAAAAATCAACCCACCGGCCCAGCAATGCCAGGCTTTCAGGGACCCCAAGGGACAGATCACGTCGTTCCGTCTAGTTTCAGAAACTTTGACCCTGAAGAGACGTGACGGTACCTGCTTATCTTTACGCATGTGACTGTGCAGGCCACATGTGAGTTTCCGGAGGGCCAAGGCCAAAGCGTTTAAGTTCACTGGGGCTGGGACTGTGTTTTTCTGCATTTTTGTACAGCTCTGAGCACAGCGGAGAACCGATCCACAACCCTTATCAAGCCCTTTGGTCTAAAACCCCAAAGCGACCAATTTTATCAAAAAGCCACAGGTTACTAAACCAGGAAAGAAAAGCAATAAAACCTGACGAGCCCCCACAGGATTTTGGCCAAGCGCGGTCTGCTCTCTCTCTTCCACCTTGCCCCCTTTGCTACGGTCAGTGCCAACGAGGGGCCCAGTTGGAAGAGTTAAACCCTGCTTCTCTACAGAACAGGCCCATCTCATGTAGGCACGGCAGCATGCAAAGTTCTCCAGCGTTCCTCCGCCAACGTGTTCCGTTCCACCTGAGCCAGACAGACGGCCCCTGCCCTTGGCGTCTTTGGGAGTGACCCACAGATGCCGAGGGTGGTGGAGAGCTGGGCTGGGTAAATATCTGTCAGCAAGGAACTGCACCCCACTTCATAGTGATCACTTGCAGGGCTGACCTCGTCTGGCTCCGTGTCCCAGTGACCCAGGAGGTAAAGAATCTGGCTCCCCGAGCCACCCAGTTCTATCCTAAGCGGCTTTCTACCCCAAGTACCCTGGATACGGCTTTGCGGGTTTGAACATCACCACTCTCCTCGGCTGCAGGAGTCAGTGGAGATGAAACGTTGCAATCCCGGGGAACCTGCCACCCCGGAGCGGGCACATGGAAAATTGCAGGGAGAGCCGTAGGCTGTGACAATACCAGAAATGCAGGAAATTTAGCCAATGTCCCAGCACAGCGAGCACTGTCTGCTCCCCTAAACAGCCAGACAGCCCGCAGCAGGGCAGGGCCTGTCCCCATGTGCTGAAGGATGAGAGTGTCGCTACAGGTTAAGAGCAACAGTCCAGACACAACCGAAGCCAGGAGCAAAAGAGGCACAAGTTAGAGAATCTGGAGAAGTCACCCAGGCAGCTGATGGGGGTAGGGGGGCACAATGGG